GCGACGAGGGCGGTGATGGGGCCCGTGGTGCCATGCCGGTGCAGCGGCATTCGAGGTGAAGCAGGCCACTTGTCGTGGCTGGCCCGTGCATCATCACCGATGGTGTCCCTAGCTATAGGTGCCGTGCCTCGTTGTTGCCAGTGTCCCTGGCCACGGGTGCGCCGTACGACTCCGTGAAGGCGGTAGAAGGAGGTGAGAGCGCAAGAGGTGTGGCAGAACCGTCCAAAATAACACACTTTTGGAGGCGCTCGTCTTCCACTAGACACCAAGCACCTCGAAAGTAAGCTACATCGAACAGTTTCGTCGAGCACACCCAAGGGAGAACTCAAAACAATCCACATTTTACATCTAGAATCCATTAATGAGTACGAGCTTATAATACTTAGTCCATTTTATACAACAATAGTTATTGGAAATTATTTATTACAATACCAGAGTTCAGAGTGCGATAATTAAACAGCAGAATAAAAATAAACATCTAGCAAAAACAATACAAGGATCCGTCTGTGCCCACCAGAAAAATCCTTCACACAAGATCTACTTCTCAAGCTGCACCTGCAACAGAGAAAAAATAAATCCTAAGTACACAATGTACTCGTAAGACTTACCTGACTAGTGAGAATAGTTTCCCGACTCTCAAGAATATGATAGGTAATATGAGTTTGTTGTTTTCTTTTTGTTTACGGAAAGTATTACAAATAGTTCATCCTTACAGTCAAATTTTATTAGCAGTCATGATTACTTTATTAGCTAACCATTCTAGGTAAACACATGTTCTACTTTCAAGCAAGGGTTAAGTAATCAGAACCATTTCACTATCTTTCATCTTTCAGTTTTTACTATAGTGCTAGACCATAGTCAAGTCGTACCGTCTCACGGAAACGACGATTCGCGAACCAATATATTCCAGCTAGGTACCCCAAAACACACGCCATGTTTGTACCCCAGGCACAAACAAGACCAACCCATTCCACTCTTGTCACGGGGTTCATGTCCTCGTCCAAACTTAGATTCCAAGCCCCCACACTTGAGACCCAAACTCAGTATGGTGCTTAGACCTTCATCTTTTCCTGCCTCCAATCAGTCGGTCCGGAAAGAGGCAGAACCCACGACAAGAGTGTAACGAGCCTTCCCGCTCCCATAAGCAAATATGTGCTTAGAATAATAAGTCTGTGACCTGACTACCATCCACAGGAACGGACGGTCCTTAATCGACACGAACAGGGAAAACAGTGTAACCAAGCTAAGCCCCATTGGCCACGGAACACAACCTGTTATATCCACCAATACCCCTACCATATCCCTGCTCTGTCTTTATTTTTTCTTTCATCATTTTATTACGAGAGTAATAATAATCTCCTATTGTGTGCAACACAAGTTACTCACGCTACCGATGACCTAAGCATAGCATCTACTCGAACCTGCACTAGTAAGACTCTTAGGATAGATGTATCTATGCTTGTTTTTTCCAAAAAAAATCCTGTAATGTAAATGCACAACACATTTATATACAGTGAATTGTAAAATAGAGGTTATACACCGGGGCTTGCCTTAGACATGCGTGGTGTCAGCTGAGTCAGTCAGTGGTGGTTTTGGGACCTCCTCCTGCATGAGAATTTTCTCCTCGTACTCCTCGACGATCTCCTCGAACTCGTGATCGACGGTGGTCACGATTTTCGCCAACTCGTTCTCTACATGCATGCGATGATGATGCAACACTTAGCATTCAAGCAACAACAACTCTTAAACTAAGAATGTACATACAAGCTACTAAACTAGTTCTAATGATTAAGATACTAAGCTAACTATCATCTTCATCAAGCAAGGTGTTGAATTCAACTAACAAACACTCAGTTTTATAATTTAAGGGTATATCTTTATTTCTACTAATGATTTAATGTATATTAAAACAAAGAGCATTTAACTACCCTAATGGTTAGTCTATTCTAAGGCTACAAAAATTACAGTGAGCACATAATAATACAATTAAGCTACTATAAAATTTTCAGGACTACAGTTATCACCAATTTACTACAAAAATTCCTACAATCATTAACTTAATATTATTAAGCATCCTCAAATGATTTAATAGCTCCTAATGTCAACACATATAAACATGAACTAAATACACCAACCGATAGAGCATAATTTTAGAAACTGACAAAATCATTTCACAATTTTTGGACACCTACATGATTTTATATGATTTACCAAATATCAGCTCAAAAAATAAATTAGAAAACCATTGCTAATTTCTTATAAAAAAAAAATTAAATCTCTGTCTGTGCCCACTACGCGTGGCCCGCATTTACACACAGCGTGCGTAGCGGCCCTCTAGCGCGGCCCACGCGAGGCCGGCGCGCGCGCGTTGGTGATTTTGCAAAATAGACCTTGAACTCCTCCTAATTTATAACTAAGTACTAACATTATTTTCTCCTCTTTTAGACCTTCTCACTTAACCCCCGGACTTTTCCCTAATTCACCCGCGCGCACCCCCAGCGACTCAACGCACGGTGGCGCGGCGACGATGACATGGCGCGCCCGTGCCAGCCGCCAGAGGCTCGCACTAGCTCGTCGGTCGGGCCGACCTTCAACTACGGTCCAACCGCCTACACCAAGCAGCAACGCGGGGTGGCGGGACACGCTGGAGGGAGCTACAGTGACGCATGGCCTTCCGTGGCGGCGGCGCAGCTGCCTCGGTGATCCAGAGTACCTAAGAACCTAACTGAATAGCGAGGGAGCATCAGTAGACTACCGTGGAACTAGCCGAGGTGACGATTAGGGTGGAGGATGGCGGAGGAGGTGTGGCCACGTGCGGTCGAGCCATGCGGAGGCGCACCGCGGTGGCGTGGTCGCGTCAGCGACGACGGAGAGGCGGTAGCGGTTCCATTGGTGTGCGTAAGGTGGAGAGGGAGGCAAGGCGAAACTAGTGGTGTAGGTGAATTGGCTCGGGAGGGACGGTAGGAGGACTGCCCTCGTCCACGGCCGAACGCGGCCTTATCGGCATGGCGGTGAGAATAACGCCAAATTGGAGCTCGACCGGGCACCATTCAAGGCGGGGTGGGGTCGGGCAGTAAGAGGACTTGATGGCGGAGACATAGGCGAGCGGAATCGAAAGGAGATGACCACTCGCTGGTCAATTGCGTGGGGCACGACTACGACGTTGGCAGTAGAGAGAGAGAGAGACGGCCCGGTAGGTGGCACAGCACGGCCTCGCCTTTGCGGGACGTGCTCGGCATGACAGGGAAGGCATACGCGCAGACGCAAAAGGACAAGCGCAGCGCCATAAATGGCATGGCGACAACGAGCACGATCATGTGCGCGCGGTAGTGGCGGCCTCGACCAGGGCCAGCAACGCCGCAGAGGTGCAGAGAGAAGCGCGGACGTGACGGTGAGGCGACGGCACCGACAACGACTGTGTCGTGGCGCCGAGCGGGTCAGCAGTGCGGCAGCGCGGCGGGACAGCCAGCAATGCCGCACGACCACGTAAGCAGCAGCAGCGGCTCCGCGAGGTAGAGGCCAGTGGCGACCAGGCCAGAGGCAGCCGCGGCCGGCCATGCGCAGCAGCGCGCGCACGCGCGCGCGACCAGCGCGGCGACGACGTGCGCCCAAGCGTGGTGACCACGTCCACCCAGCCAACCCAAAAACGTGTCGTGCACGCATTTTAAAAGCACCTATAAAAAAACTAAACGGTTGTTTCTAGACCTAAACCATCTTCACCATGCTCAAGATGGCATATGAGGCTACCAAACCGAGCTAAAACATAACACTTAGGCCCTGTTCGCTTGGAGGAATTTGGAGGAATCTGGAAGAATCTGGAGGAATTTGTGAGAGTGTGCACAGAGCCGTGAACAGTGAATTCCGGCTGAAATTTCTTCCAGCCGAATAGCCCCTTATTCTTAACCCGATTTCGCAAAATAAATTGCCAAACATGACATTGTCTAGCTATCTATATACTTCAAAATCTTCTAAGTCTACGAGCTGAATTTAATTCCAAGTTGTATTTCTAGGATATTAGAAATGTTGGCTAGCAATGTTATTTTTCTAAAGCAAGTATTTCATTGTCATCTACAAAGTTTATATTTCAAACTTTATTTAAGCACCACATATATGTTCTATAGTATTTTTGTTGAATAAAAATTTGTTTTAAACCCTACTTAATACATATGAGTTATGGAATAACTTATCATTTAACATTTTTATTGATCATCTGAAGTTACAAAAATATTATCTATACCTTCCATCATATGTATTATCACATAAACATGATACTCACAATATGGTTTAGTAATTTATTTAGGACGTAACACGGAGGGTGTTACAGGAGGTAACCGAAACTCGCCCCAGCTCGCTCCATCGGGCCAGGCTATGAGAAAACGAACACTCAGGTCGTTTCCTAGGAGCCACCCATTTGGGTGCTTTGAGGAGCGTGCGGGCCGGACTGATGAACAGTAAAAGCAAATCAAACACGTGAACTTACAGCCCACGGGCTCAGCCAGGCCTCCGGAGCCCAAATCAAACGCGCCCTTAAAAACCGGAGTTTCTGATGATTGGCATCGTGACGTCTTGGACACCATTTGCGATCTCTCACCTCAAGACAAGAGCATGTCACTTGTCAGTTGTCGTGACAACTTGGTCCTTGGACACCATTCGCGACCTCTCACCTCCAGTTTTTTTTTTTTAAGAAGCCGAAGGTGCCCAGACTGCTGCTGTTCTACTCGATTAGCTAATGAGTTCCATGGGCCTCAAATCATCAAGTGTATCATCACATCAGTCTTTCTCTTCTTAGGACCATGGGCCTTCCTCTAGAAAAGAAGATCATGGGCCTTAGCCAAAATCCAAGTCTAGGGGAGCATCCACGGCCCATCCACCGAATTCGCAATTCCCCATCCATCTCCGTACGCCGTACTACCCACAGACACACTCGGACTGAGGGGTTTTGCTAGGGTTCTCCTCCTGCCACCACCGAACCGCCCCCCGCCCCTGCCGCCGCCGCAGCGATGGCCGCCGTCGGCGAGGACGACGCGGCGTGGGAGCGCGCCATCTCCGCCGCCACCAAGGCCACCTCGGCGCCCAAGACCCTCGCCCTCGACGGCATCGTCAAGTCCTCCACGGGCCGCCTCCCCTCCGCGGCCCTCCTCGAGCGCTTCGCCGCCTCCCTCGAGGAGCTCTCCGTCGCGGGGGCGCGCCTCTCCTCGCTGGAGGGCCTGCCCCGCCTCCCGGCGCTCCGGCGCCTCTCCCTCCCCGACAACCGCCTCTTGGGGGCCGCCGCGCTCGCCGCCGTCGCGGAGGCCTGCGGCGCCACGCTGCGTCACCTCGATCTAGGGAACAACCGGTTCGCGGACGTCCAGGAGCTCGCGCCGCTCGCCGGGGTCGGGGTCGAGTCGCTCGACCTGTACCAGTGCCCCGTCTCCAAGGTCAAGGGGTACAGGGAGAAGGTCTTCGCGCTGATTCCCAGCTTGAAGCACCTCGACGGCGCTGACGCTGAGGGAAACGAGCGCTTGGAGACGGATGACGACGAGGACGATGAGGAGGACGACGAGGAGGGGGGAAGAGGAGAGAAGAAGGGGAAGGGGTGGAGGGAGAGGAGGAGGGCGAAGAGGATGATGGAGAGGAAGGGGATGAAGAAGATGGTGAGGACGGGGAAGGGGACGACGACGAAGAAGGTGATGAGGAGGTGAGGGTTTTTCTCAAAATCTCTCTTATTTATCAGTCAATATCTGTATTGGTTAATGTTCAAATCTTTAGCTGACAACTGCTAACTTGAAAAATGGGTTGTAAAATTATGAGTTTAACATTGCCAGTTAGATGATGTATGATGCTAGCTTTGAGGGAATACATTTGCGCGAGTGCCATTGTTATTTAAATGTTCATGGCACTGCATATGATCCATTTACTTGTGGACAACACTCCTTTGGTAGGTTCCTATGTGCATCAATCTTAATTCATTTACGGACAGCGTTCCTTTGGCAGGTTCCTATGTATATCAATCTTAATTCATTTATTTTCTTTTATATGTCTACCGGTTTGTTTCTGTGCCATTTTACACATTGAAGTGCCATGCCATCCATCAGTCTTTGTACACTCTCATTTTTGGCATTCATTGCTGTTGAATCCTGCATGAGATGAGTAATTGTTGGTGTCTTATTCCAATAATATATGAAAACCCTGGTATGATACTGATTGTATTTTTTTGGGTGCATGGAAGCAAATCTTGTGCAAGGTTATAAAAATTATGACATCCCTGCATCTGGTGAAGGTGCATTGTTCTAAATGAAATATTATTCTATCTGTTAGTAACTACGTTATTGCTAGAATGTATAACACTATAACTTAGAGGTGTTCTGGGTAGGATGTGTTTATGTTGACCTCTTTCCTGCTCGATCTTCTACATAGACGATTTTACCATGGGCTCTGGGCCTGCTGTTTTCATGCCAATATTTGCACTTAATATTTATCATAGTTGCGCTGTGTATCATCAAGGTTCGACACTTGTTTATGTATTATCACCTAGTTATTTGTTCTTGTAAATGCTTCGATGCTCCATAATTTGAGTTTAGTCACTGAGCACTCACAGTTCTTGGGCTGTGAGTATGTGTATCACCTTGATTCTGTTTTACATCTCAGTAGCTGCCAGTAACATCATGCTTTGTTGTTCCTCTAGAGATTGTAGTGTTGAACTCTTGATGGCGCTATGTTGCACTTTGCAGTGTGAGCTTGACCCTGTTTTACCTTTAAAATTGTAACTGCCATGGACTCTGCGGCCTTGCGTAAAATGTCCCAAACCATTCTATCTAGCTCATTCTTGGAATTCCCTGCAATTTGTGGCCTAAACAAGTTCAATTGAGCAGTCTAGTATACCGATTGATACTTGATTTTGTAGCCAAAGAATTTGGTAAACATAGTTCTAATACATTTGACCATTTTCAGGCTGAAGACGAAGACGGTGAAGCTGAGGATGACGAAGTTGATGCGGATGCAGAAGACAAGGAGAACATCGAAAGCAAAGCAGGATCTTCCCTGCCAAATAAGAGGAAAAGGGATAGCAAGGATGATGCCAATGGAGACAAGTAAAACGGTGAGGGAAGTAGTATTTCCTGAACTTCGGAAGCGTTCCTGTGCACTGATTATTATTTGCATGCTTTCTGGTTCTTTTTTTTCCAGCACTTGTAATAGACTAGAGCATAGTGTTTTTAGGCAATTCCATTTCTGAAGTATCTTCTGGATTCTGGAAGTTGTCTGACTCTGAAACAATGAGTACTCTTGGATGTCCCCAGCATGTATACTCTCTTTGTTCGGTATGACTTCCTGATGCTACTAATCGAGATCCCAGTTCATATTATGATACTTGTGCTTCTGGAGGATGACCTTTTTATGCTTGTATGTAAACTATGTATATGTTTCATTGACTTCCTGGTGCGATATTTCCTACCTCAAGGTAGTGCACTCCGTCCCAAATTGTTTTGGACTCTTTGGTTGTCTGCTTGTGACCTGACACCTGACTTCTACAATCCGAAGCGTTCAAAGATGTGGACTGACTGAAGTGACTGTGAAACGCTTCCATTAAAACTTGTTTGTAGGAGGTTGTTTCCATTAGAAATTATTCCACTTGGGCTGGTTCCCTCATGAATATTCGATGCATTTTCGCTTGTGTGAAACGAATCAATGGGAAGATTCAACATTCCTGCATTTCCTTGCTGTTAAAATGTCTAATTAAACAATGGTTGCTTCTTACAAGAACGAAAACAATAACAAAGAATGTTTATCCCGAGACAGCTTAATTATAAGCTCTGTGATCTGAAATGCTTAGCACCTTGATATTGCTTGGTCAAATTTTTCTATTAATTTGGCTCCAGATGTGAGAGAATTAAAATCCATTAGAACTTCATTGGACGTACTTAGGTTCTATCGACAAATTTGATGTACAAATGGACTAAATTGTAAGGGTATCGTTCACTCGCCCATTGGAATACACAACATGTATCTAATGGTGCTCGACGGATCTGATTGTTTTTTTATTCAAATGCACGAATGCTCAAATTCCTTCTCTTATTTCCCAGACGACCAATCGGTTGAACTAGGTGTGCTCATCTGTTTCGCATTTGCATAAATCATCAAACAGCGACACCTACTGTTTCCAGCGTAGGAATTTTCCCTCTTCGGCACGCGTAGTCTGTAGGGTCAGCAACGGGCGCTGTAAATCAATGTAGTCTGGAGGTAGTCTATATTATATAATCTTTCTGCAAAGTCCAGCAGGACGGCCAAGGAGCCAAAATTTCTGTCGTGATTTTGGTATCGTGATTTTGGTTTGGCCTATCCATCTCACATTATATCATGGATTAAACTAATCGACTCTCCGTGTTTTGTCCGTTCTCAGTCTCTTCTCCGTCTAAAATAAAGAAACAAAATTTCTGCCTTGATTTTGGTCCGGCCTATCCATCTCACGTTATGGCCCCTCTTATAATTCGTATTTTCAGCTTGTTTTTTCAGTCGAAATAGTGTTTTTCTCTCGCAATAAATCAGCCGGAACAGTGTTTCGGCTTTTTTCAGCGAAGCGAACGGGGCCTATATCATGGACTAGATATATGCCCGTGCATTGCACGGGCGACGAATTTGTATCAATGTGTACGATGTTGCACGTGGCTTATGGTTTAGATGAACATATTAACATTTTTTTTATCGGACCTATTATCCAATTTTTATCCATGTCTATGAGGATCAGTGTTCGCCTAAACGGCTGATTAAACGGTCAGTAAACGGTAAATGGTGGTAAACTATTTTGTTTAGGGGGTAAACGAAAATTAAACGGTTGACCATTTAAACGGTCAAAAACGGTCTAAACGGCCTAAACGGAACGGAGATAAACAACATTAAACGAGCTAAACAGTTGTTTAAACGGCTCTTTAGGCGGACACGAGGTAAATCTAGTTCAATTTTGTATAGATAAATTTGTATACTTAAGTTTATTATATTTATAAATATGTACACTTGATATGTTACATGCATAAATATCTATATTTGGTTCTTTTCACATGCATAAATATATATACATACCAAAATAATTGATTTTTACTCAGATAAATATGTATAAATGCTAGAATACTTGATTTTTTACATGCACATATATAATTATATGTATTTTTTAAAAAGTACAAAACCGTTTAGACCGTTTAATTTCGTTTAAACACAGTGTAAACAACCTAAACGCTAAACGAAGGGCGACCGTGTAAAAACCATTTACCGTTTAGGAAAACATTGATGAGGATGCACATGGCTTACGGTTTAAACAAACACAAACGTATTAAGAAATATATAAATTTGATTACATAAAGCATATTTCATGATCTTTATATGCATATACCGTGCAGATCTTCTGGTATACAAAAACCTATGAATAATATTTTTTAAATTAGACTTTTTGTGATTTATTATTATACATTTTCAAAATTAATAAAAATCTAATAAACACTTTTTGCATTTGGAACTCTAAACTATTTCTAAATTCATCCAGGTTTCCCTTCTTCTTTTATATTGGTAGATTAATGGGCCGTGTTATTACATGCGGGCATCACGCAAATCACCACTCAACGGACTCGTAGTAGGTTTGTCCGTTCGACCCACGGCACGTCGTTCCTTGGTTCATGCTCTCATACGAGGGTGAGCGGGGTGTAGATATAAATGGGCATGCAGCCCGAACCGGTCGACCCAGCACGAGGCCCGTATTTTTAGCCCGGTCCAAGCACGCCCCGGCCCGGTGGCCAACGGGCCCGTGCCAGCATGGCCCACGGAGCAGGCCATGCCTGGTCCGCTCCCTGGGCCCGTCGGACGGCACTGCACAGCCCGCAAAATAGTGAAAGGCCCGGTGCTGGCCCGGTGGCTGGCATGGCCTGCTAATGGCCCAGGTTTCTATTCCCCGTAACCCTATCCTGCTCTCTCGGTCCCTTCCCGTGCCGCACTCGTAGTCCCGTACGAGAGTTGCGACCCCGCACGGCCGCACTCGCTTCCCTCGTCTCGCGGAGCCGCTCCTTCGTCCTCCCCCTCTCTCTCAATCCACCGGATCTCACTCCTCCACGGAGATGGTTGGGAGAGGCAGGCAGAGGTGAGCGCGCGACCGTTGCGGTGGTGGCTTGGCTGGGCAGTCCGGCGGCGACCGCGCCCTTCGGGTGGAGATCGTTGCGTTCGCGCCTGGCTGCGGCCACGTGGAGCACAGAGGTTTATCAGCGTTTTCCTCTCATAACAAATCAAGACTACCAAATGGGCTTGTCACCCGTAAACCAACCAAATGAACAAAGCAGCTAGAATAGAGGGGGGGAGGAAGAAGGGGGCCGGCGCCAGCGGTGAACCCAGAAAATATTTCAGGGGGGGCTGAACAACACTGTTGTCCGATCTTAAATCTCAGCCCCCCTACACTATAGAATTTTACCTAAAAATTCATGGGGGCTCCACAGGGGGTTCCACTGCTGCGATATGGGTAGGGGGGGCTTGAGCCCCCCCCCCCCCACCGTGTCCGCCCGCGGCACTCAGCCTAATTGCCTAGAGATTGGCGTTGAGTCAGGCCACACTGAGGTTTGCCGCTCGGCATTAAAGGGATTGACGCCGAGGTCCGCAGGGCCCATTGCCATGCCGAATCTTGTGTGCCAACCAAGCCCTGAGTTGTCACTGACGTGGCAGGGTGTCGGCGTGACCTGACCGCACGCCGAGGCACGTACCTCGGTGTAGCGTTCTATGACGCCAAGCTTTGGGTCCATTCTTAGAAAAGATTTGGCGGGAAGTCTATTTGTAAAAAAGGTGTTCGAAAAAGACTAAAATACAGAAAGAAAAATTCAGTAGCCGCACTGTAGGCAACCAATCCTCATGGGCTCATGGTCTCATGGTCAGTCATGGCCGCCGCTCAACCTGGCCTCCGTCAACTGCAGAACCGCGTCCGGAAGCAGGAGGAAGCGGTCAACACCTGTGGGCCGCATGGTAATCGCTGGGGCATCATTCAGAGATGATGAGCGGCTGCAGATAACCGAGTTGCAATGCATTTCTGAAAAGCAAACGCTACCGGAATCGGAAGTAGCCGTGCACAGGTGCAGTGAGTAGCTGCACAGCACTGCACGCAACCAAACCTCATGGCCGCCGCACCCTCCACGCTCAACATGGCCTCCGTCCTCCTACTGCTGCTTCTCTTCTCCGTTCACTGGCCGGGCCGCAGCCACGCTTTCAGCCTCATGAACTACCTCTGCAACAACGGCAGCTCCTACGCCATCAACTCCACCTACCGCTCCAACGTCGTCGCGCTCCTCGGGTCCCTGTCTGCCAACGCGTCCAGCTCCGTCGTAGGCTTCGCCACCGGCACGCTCGGCCACGCCCCAGACCAGACGTGGGGGCTCGCGCTCTGCCGCGGCGACGTCAACGGCAGCGGCTGCGCGTCCTGCCTCGCGCTCGCGCCGGACATCGCCTTCGGCAACTGCAGGGGCGTCAGGGACGTGTCCATCTACTACGACCGCTGCCTCCTCCGGTACTCGGACACGGACTTCCTGGCCAGCCCGGGCGACGCCTCGGCGCCGGTGCAGTATGGCACCAACCTGCAGGTGAACGTCACCGCCGACCCCGGACGTCGTGGGTCTCGCGGCCGACCTCGTGGCCGCGCTGTCCGCCTGGGCGGCGCGGAACTCGACGGCGAGATACGCCGCCGGGGTGGTGACCTCCGCCCAAGGGTTCACGACGACGGACCGCAACCTGGTGCACGACATCTACGGGCTGGTGCAGTGCACGCCCAACCAGGCTCCCGAGGCGTGCCTGACGTGCCTCGGCAGACTCAAGGACGAGATGCCGGCCGTGTTCAACGGCTCAACCGGCGGCCAGTTCAACGCGGTGTGGTGCAACCTGAGATTCGAGGTATTCCTCTTCTACGACAGCAGCCCGGTAGTGAAGCTTGTTGCACCTCCGTTGACGCCTGCTCCGTCAGGTGCAGCAGTCCACGACGATGGTAAGATCTTTGCATAATTTCAGATACAAAAAATAGAAAACCAACTTATCATAGTAATGGTAGCAGGTATCCATGAATCGTCCACAAATATAAATTATGAAATTGTCGTTAATAGTTGCAGCTACTGTAGTCCTCGAGCTTTAGGGTCTATTTGACAGAGCTTCGCTCCTAGATTCTCTTGCGCAACTCCTTGATTTTCGAGTAGAGTGATTCTAGAGCTTTAGGGTCTATTTCTTGATTACGGTGGAGCAATGTGGGGAACATGCGAGAATTGATTCTAGAGTGATTTAGTAGAGAGTAGGTTTTTTAACTTCTACCTACCGGTGTAAACGGAGAAGTGATCACTTCCGGAGAGCCATGCCAAACATCCCCTTAATCGTTCTCATTATCTGCATTGTATTGTATTGTATCGGCAGCAAAGAGGACAAGGGGAGCAGGAAATGCAGCAACAGTAGTGGCCATTGTTCTTGGGGTCCTACTTGTCATCCTTCTGTCCACGTTCATGATGTATCTCTGGAGAAAAGCACAAGTAAAACAATGTGAGTTATGCGCCCTGTTCCTGATGAAGTTCTGCATATATCTTTGATATGTCAGAAAACATATATACTTAGGAGAAAAAGGAAATGATGGTAGAAATGAGTCTCAAAGCAAAAGGAACACGCATGGCGAACATTCGTAACTTTAATGGTGATGAGGATAAGCATGTGTATGCAGATGCGGAGGAAGCTGACGATTCCGGGTCGCTCCTCTTTGACCTGGCAACACTGAGGAGGGCAACTACAAATTTTGCCGAAGAGAATAAGCTTGGACATGGAGGCTTTGGCGCGGTATACAAGGTACCGTTGCTACCTCTACTTTGCTAGAGAGTAGAGACACATCTCTTTGTGGACATCATAAACGCGGTGCCTAAAATTGCAGGGTTTCTTGGCTGATGGACGGCAAATCGCCGTGAAGAGGCTGGACAAGGCTTCAGGGCAAGGCCTGAAAGAGCTGAGGAACGAGCTGCTGCTGGTCGCCAAGCTTCGGCACAACAATCTTGCAAAGCTTCTCGGCGTTTGCTTGAAGGGACAGGAGAAGCTGCTTGTCTACGAGTACATGCTTAATCGAAGCCTGGACACCTTCCTTTTTGGTACACAACACTACTATCACTGTCCTTCCTGTGCTCGACATGCCAATTATTATTTATATCATTGCCCTTTTGCAGTCCCTGAGAAGCGTCCATTGTTAGACTGGGAGACAAGGTACCGCATACTGTATGGGACTGCACGAGGCCTGCTGTACCTCCACGAGGATTCGCAAATCAGAATCGTCCACCGCGATCTGAAGGCCAGCAACATCCTGCTCGACGCCGACATGAACCCGAAGATCTCCGATTTCGGGCTGGCAAGGCTCTTCAGCGCCGACAAGACTACCACCATCACGAGCCAAATTGTCGGAACGCTGTATGTTGCTCGTGCTGTGTTCTTCCTAGCTTCTTCGTGGAGCAGTAGTTCCGCGATCTGAAAACTCAAGCTGTTTTCATGCTTGGCAGAGGATACATGGCGCCAGAGTATGCAGTTCTTGGGCAACTGTCGGTGAAGCTTGACGTTTACAGCCTCGGCGTCCTGATCCTGGAGATCGTTACTAGGGCCCTTGTTTAGTTCGCTTCAAAATTCCAAGTTTTTTCACTCTCTCTCTATCACATCAATTTTTAGCCGTTTGCATGGAGTATTAAATGTAGGTAAAAAAAACTAATTACACAGTTTAGTTGAAAATCACGAGATGAATCTTTTGAGCCTAATTGATCCACGATTGGACAATATTTACCAAATAAAACGAAAGTGGTACTATTCAACAGGTTGAAAAAACTTTCAATCTGCCTGGGCGGAAAAACACCGACATGTTCGAATCAGCAGCCGGAGAATCCATCATTCTGCTGAGCTACGTGAGTTGCAGCCCTACACATTCCACGAGCCACTTTTTAGATAAAGCCCTCGTGTAGTTAGTGAAATTTGGATTTTGGGGCTACTGTAGTACCATCGTTTTTATTTGGTAAATAGTGTTCAAATATGGACTAATTAGGCTCAAAACGTTCGTCTCGTAATTTCCCACCAAACTGTGCAATTAGTTTTTTTTTTCGTCTACATTTAATGCTCCATGCACAAGCCGCAAACATTCGATATAACAGGTACTGTAGCAACTTTTTGAAATTTGAGGTGGAACTAAACAAGCGAAAAGGGATCAGAGACACCGCTGGGTCACTGGGCAGAAACACCGTACACTTGTACTTTGTACATGCATGATCCAAGTAAATGATTATTTGTCCTGTGGTACTAGATGTGGGACCACTGGGTCAGAGGCACCACGCTGGAGGCCGTGGACCCGTCCTTGGACCGCCAGGCCCCGGAGACGGAGAGCGAGGTGGTCAAGTGCATCCATCTCGGGCTGCTCTGCGTGCAGGAGAACCCGGTGGACCGCCCGACCATGCTCGACGTCCTCGTCATGCTGCACGGCCAATCGTCAGGATTTGCGGCACCGTCGAAGCCGGCCTTCGCCTTTGCGTACGGGGAGACGATGAGCTCTGATGAGCGGCGTGATGTGTCTTCTGCTGCTGCTGCTCCGTTCTCTTTGAACGGCATGTCCGTGTCGGAGTTCCAGCCAAGATAGATGGACGACAATCACGGAAGACACTCAGACACGACACGATAGAAATACAGATAGGGATGTGTCATGACACGGGCCTTAGGCCTTGTAATAGGATTATGAGTGGATGTGTTTGGACCGTAAGTCTTATGTGTTATCGGTTTTGCAGGAACCAGAGTCCCATATATGTAGTATCATGTCTAAGTGAATGAGGACATCAGATATGAACAAATCATTTATCCCCTATCTCTACCATCTTCCTCCTAGCTTCTCTGCTTGAGACGGTACCGCCGTGCTCTCCACCGTGCGCATTCGCCGGCAAAACCCTCTAGTTGTCCAGGATCGTGACATTTGGTATTAGAGCCATCGATTGAGGAAATCGTGTGGATCTGCTACTTGGTGTCTTGGTATGACCAAATCCGGATCTACACTGTCCATCGCCGCCATCGCCGGGCTCGAGGCGAAGATGCATCGCCTGCTGGAGATGATGGAGGAAGCGAACGCGGGGATGTGTAGCAGTCTCAAGACCCTCGCATCTGTGACACGGTCGTCCGCGCCCTCGTCTTCGTCCACTTCACCGGCGTCCTCGACTCCGACTACAGTGCCAACAGCTGCGGCCTCGTCATCCACAACCGCACGGACTGCAGCGCCTACACCGACCTCCATCACGTGGTCTGCCTGCTGCAACCACGCTACGGCGTCACCGGCGTACACCGCTCTCACCACTTCGCCGGCCGAACCCACCGCTACACCGACCGTGGCCGCCCTCGACGTTCACCACGTGGCCACACCAGCATCAGCTATCTCAAGCACAGAGGACGATGCCATCAACACTTCACCCATCAAGCGTTCGACACATTGCATCTCTGTCAACACCGGCAATGACCATGCTCTTGTTGCGTCCCTGCATAGTGAGGCCGCGCCCAAGGACTTTCCAGCTCTGACGTTGATCTTGCCACCAGCCTCTCTGGGTGCTCAGTTGGTGTTTGATGAAATGCCAAACAGGTACACCACCATCGTTTACCCTGCTCACTCGAATGGTGTTTCTATGTTTGGGATTTCCACCAATGTTCCTGAGGTCCTTGTGGTGATTGAGAAAGTGTCTAGGCAAACTTAAGAGGTATTATGGCCACCTTCCTTCACGACCTGTTGTACTTCGCTACTAGTGTGTTCTACTGGTCCCTGTGTGTTTGACCGTGGAAAGAGTGGAAGGAGCAATCTCTCAATCACCGACAACCCACATTGGACACTACAGCCGGCAGGTGCATTAATTTCCTTGTTGGGAGTTCACTCATTAGCCTTGCTGATGGAGTTGAAACCATGGCCGCCTCCTCTGAAAGACAGTAACTCCTTGCTCACAGACACCTGCCTGTTGTGCTTATATTCGGGGCATCCCTTTAGTAGTGGTTAGATAGATGCGCTATTGAGGCAGCCAAGGCCACCACCTCTGCTGTTGGACCTGATGGTCTGCTCAAGTCAATACCATGGCCATCTTTATGCGAGTCTGTATCTGTTGTGCATTTGCAAAATTCATCAGCATTGGTGCTTGCTATTTCCTTCACAACAGTACAAACATTATCAGTGTGGCAAGAAGTGAGTGGTAGGGCTCTGGACTCCATAACTCTATTGCCGACTTTGTGTTCCCGCGCTAGTGATGGTTTATATCAACTGAAAACTGTGATATCATACACAAACAGTTATATGCTGCTATTCAGTTTCAGTCAGTATGCTTCTCTATTGCTACATTCTAGTCATTGCTATCATCCGCCAGTGCGGTGGAAGCCCCCATGGATATCTATGGTATACATCTTCAGTAATAGACCCTATATTGCCAGCCTCAGGATCAGGACTTCCACGGTGCCTCATTTGATCTGGTGGCCAGTGTTTGCTAAGTTGAAATTTTGGGATGTTCAGTACAAGAATTTTTGTGGGGAAGTAATGGGTCAGTGCTTGTATATTATATATCTGGGGCTGCATCATGATTCCATTATACCAAGGATCATTTCTCCAGTTAGTACCCTGTCAGGGAAGAGGTGTTATCGACGGTTCTGAAAACCACCATGGGCATCTTCAGAATGCAAGGTCATCATCTGGAAATTTCTTGCACGGCTACGTAATCTGCAGAGCAGCGGAACCATGGTTGCAATGTTTCTGGGGCTTACCGAAATAAAATCAGTGCTACAATGGCCAACAACTGCACTGGATATTATCAAGACCCATGTGCACTATTTTAGTCGTCACATCCTTCGTGGGCCACTATGTCCTGAAGGGAGGGCTGTCTTCAAGTTTGCCAACCATCTATATGAAAGTTCAAGAATATCTGAACTGATTCTATTCCACAAAATCACTTATGTTGCTCGGGATGTTGGTGATATGCAGCTGAGCCATGGCATCTATACAGTGGTCACTCTATACATATTCAGAAAATGGACAGTCACATTGGATTTTGATGGCAAATTTATTTTGCTATGTGTCTCCAAAGTCAGAAAGTTACCTGGAGTAAATCAGATTGATGCCGAACTGATTCTGCACTGGGCTGAATACACCAAGAACCATATTTTCCTATTTCGGTCCTATTTCGGAGCACGAAAAGCAGATTTCAGATAATCCTGTGCATGGAGTATTTTTGTTGCAGCTCTCTGGGGTTATGCCACATACAAATTACAGATCAACAAGAAGCTAGAGATAAGGACTGCTCGTTTACTCAATCTGCACTATCACATCATAGTGTCATCAAGCAGTGTGGAGTACACAAGTGCAAGTTCAAGGATATTTACATGCATCAGTAAGACAGTGAATTGTTTGCAGTCAATGAGGTTTCACTTCTACAACTTAATGATTGAGGATCCTTAACTTGTCGTCATGATGGTCTATAGTAGGAAACGACTCCTTTGGGAACCTCCAAATACAAAACATGGCTTGGTTGCAGAATGGAGTAACAACGTGAGGACCTCTGGCGAAAAATATATGTTTATTACATGGTGATTGAAGAACCACAGCTTGAGGGCAAGCTGTTGCTTAAGGAGGGGAGAATGTCATGACATGGGCCTTGGGCCTTGTAATAGGATTATGAGTGGATGTGTTTGGGCTGTAAGTCTTGTCTGTTATCGGTTCGACAGAACCAGAGTCCCATATATGTAGTACTATGTCTAAGTGAATGAGGATATCAGATATGAACAAATCAATTATCCCCTATCTCTATCGTCTTCCTCCTAGCTTCTCTGTTTGAGACGGCACCGCCGTGCTCTCCGCCGAGCGCATTCACCGGCAAAACCATCTAGTTGTCCAGGATCGTGACGCAGGCAAGTTGCACCTGCGGCCAGCGGCACGTCCTGCGGTAGCCTGTTAGCGCATACTACATAGTACTCTGCTTGCCGCATTGTCATGCTGGCTGGACTTTGCAGAAACACATACGGTAGAATATACTAGACACTACCTCCAGATTACAGCGCCCGTTGCTGACCCTACAGATTACGCGTACCAGAGTCCGGAGACAGAAAATTCAGTATCCACAAGTACAAGTATCAGAGTTTCAGCCTATAGGCAGCTAACACGGGTAAATAGACAGACAGGCAAATGAGACCGACGTATATCCGTGGGGCTCGTCATCGTTTGGTGGAGCTGTGCTGCGTGCGTGCCGTGTTGAAGGTTAAGAAAGGAAACGCGAACGCGTCGGCCCTGTGCGTTCCTCTGTGGCTCTGTGCGGGAGGTTAGCAGATGTAGCAGAGTAGACAGACCTCGTCATGGGTCAGCACATGGCACGTACTCACGGGTCACGGCAGGGCTTCGCTTCGGTGTGCCCCAAAAGGGGCGGGCTTGCAGCAGAGAAAGGTAATAAGGTCTTGTTTAGACTGCTTCAAAGTTCTAAGTTTTTTCACTCTTTCTTTATCACATCAATTTTTGGACGTATGCATGGAGCATTAAATGTAGGTAAAAAAAATAACTAATTGCACAGTTTGGTTGTAAATCACGAGACGAATCTTTTGAGCCTAGTTAGTCCATGATCGGATAAAGTTTGTCAAATACAAACGAAACGTGCTACAATATCCAGATTGTAAAAATTTACAATCTAAACGAGGCCTAGGCCCTGAGGCTCTGACTACCCAACAACCCAGCCCAAATAGTCAAATATCGCCAGAGAATCAACCACACTCGTAATCGAATCAGCTAGGTTTGCAAGTTGTTTCGGGCTCGCTCGCTTGGTTGGGTTGGGTCGTAGGTGGCTCCAGCTCCTCCCCCCTTTCACTGTGCCTTACTCTGATTCTTCACTGCTGTGAGACTGACTGTGAGCTATAGCGACGGCTCTCGCTCCTTTCAAAATACTTGGCGACCAAAATGCTGCCAAAGCAAAGGCTTGCCACGCTGATACAGCATGGTTCGTGTGCCTAGCTAAAACCTAAAAGTGGCACGAAGCATGAGAGAGCCACGGTATAGCCCAAGTCTCACTTCTAGTAGACCACTAGGAATCCATGCCTCTTATCATGAACAACTTCCAACTCTTTGCTAAATGTACTTGTGAAGATTAGCACGCTAATGTACCCATTAGTCCCTGCTAGTGCAGAGATCGCAACAGAATGTGGGCACTTTCCTGGATGGCTGGATGGATGCAAGTGCCACCATGTGCATGGCCTAGCCTCCGACAAAGCCTCCCTTTCTTCTAAACCGAGATATTTTTATCTTGAGAAGAGTTGCTACTCTCCGGTACCCCATCCAACTGAATAACTTCCTCTCTTCGTAAGAGTTGGCATCCACCTGATTTAGATGTCATGCCAAAGCTATATATATGTACTCTTCGTAAGAGTAGAAATTAATTCAGAGAAGCGCGTCAGGGGACAGAGCTGAGGAGGATCGGAAGGAGAGGGAACGTCGATAAGAATATAAGATGTATGTGCTCATATTTTAGGAATGTCTACACGTCATTCACATGGAGTTATTTTGTCATTTTACCCACTTTCTTGCTATCTAAAGCTACACCTTGTTTATCTTAAAAAAAATTCTCTCTCGGTTACCTATTAGATACTCCCTCTGCCCTATAAAATGTAATCCTAGGTTTGAATTAAGTTTAATTTTTTTAACAGAGTTCATAGAAAAAAATATATTTACAAATAGGTTTACTAAAAAAATATTTTCTATGTTTAATTTAATAATATTTATTTGGCATCGTCAATGTTAGTGATTTTTTTATATAGATCTAGATAAATTTGAAATTGATTAATTTATCGAATAACATTCCTTTTTAGTAATGCTAAACACCAACCGGGTGTTTTATCCCTCTCCAACACCCGACTTCCTCCTCCCCGACCCGCACACGACTCCCTCCACCCCGGCGTGCACGCGCTCGGCGCTCCTCCCCACACAACGCAACCCTCTCTCCCCTCCGGCAGCGGCGGCGGGTTCCGGCGGCGTCGACGTCGACGAGGTAGGCCGGTCCCTCCTCCTCCTCCTCCTCCTCCTCTTCCTCCTCCTCCTGCTCCTGGATCTGTGCCCGCCGTCTTCTTCCCCAGCTCCGCCACGACGGCTAGGGTTCCGGCGAGCCTCTCCCCCTCTTTCTTCTCCAACTCCGGCAGGTATAGATGGGGTCGGCCTGGGGGAGGCAGGCAAGCCAGGCGGTTCAGGGGCCCTGGCAATGGTAGTGGCGCCTAGGCCAGGGCAGGGCGGGGACGCCATAACGGAGCTCGGAGCTCGGCGTCACCGGCGAGCATGGCCATGGCGGAGCTCCGACGAGAGGGGGAAGGGGAAGAAAGCGGCCGCCGCGGGCGCGGTCCTAGTGTGCCAAAGCTCCAACGAACTCTAGCGCCCGTGGTGAGGCTGTGGTCGGCGGCGGGGGCGATGAGGAGGAGAAGGGCGGGGTGCTCGACGGCGATGGACGGGGTGTCGGGAGGAGGAAGAAAATGTGAAGGAGAAAGAATAAAGCTATGAGCTTTTGGATGACCAGATCAACGGTTCATAAACCGGGTGTTTTGGGGCCTCAAAACACCTACAGATTCTTTTTTTTTCGGAGGGAATATTATTTGAGGACTGCTCCGGTGCTGTGCCGTGCTATAAAGAGAACCAGGCATCCCTAGTTCCATGCGCATTTCGTCCCGAGTCGAGCCTCTGCCACATCAACAACGGCGTCGTCGACATTCAGTCCACTGCATTGCTTGACCTTTTGTCTTCTGCTTGTGCTGCTCGCTCGCTCAGTAGCCATCTCGCCGTCGAGCAGTACGAGCAGAGGCGGCCGTCATGAGCACAATCCTCAGCATTCCAGCGCCTACATCGTTTACGCCGACCACGTCGCCAAGCCGTCCAACTTCACCACCCTCGAGCACTGGTACACCTCCATGGTGGGCTCCCTCTCCCCGGCCGCCAACTCCACCCGCTTCTTGTACGTGTACGACACCGTGATGCACGGCTTCGCCGCCGAGCTCACCGTCGACGAGGCCCGGCGCCTGTCGAACACTCCGGGCGTGACCGGGGTGTTCAAGGACAAGGCGGTCCATCTGCACACTACCAGGTCCCCGGCCTTCCTCGTCCTCGACAAGGACTCTGGCATCTGGCCGGACACGGACTTCGTCGACGGCATCATCATTGGCTTCGTCGACAGTGGCATCTGGCCGGAAAGCCCCAGCTTCAACGACATCGGGCTCACCCCCGTCCGGCCGAGCTGGAAGGGCTGGTGCGCCGACGGCGAGCGGTTCAACGCTAGCATGTGCAACAACAAGCTAGTGGGCGCCAGGACCTTCACCGCCGGCGCCGGCACGCACACGGAATGGTTGCCGGGAAGAAACGAGGCCCACGATTTCCAGTCCCCAAGGGACAAGGACGGGCACGGCACACACGTGGCATCGACGGCCGCCGGCTCCGAGGTTCCCGGCGCCAACCTCTTCGAGTTCGCGAGCGGGACAGAGAGGGGGGTGGCTCCCAAGGCGAGGGTGGCCATGTACAAGGCGTGCGGACCGATGGGCTTCTGCAGCATGTCGGGCATCGCCGCGGCGGTCGACGCCGCCGTTAAAGATGGCGTCGACATCCTGTCCTTGTCCTTTGGGAGCCAGGACCACGACTTCTACAAGGAACCCATGTCCACCGCCTTGTTTGGGGCCGTGCGTGCGGGCGTCTTCGTCGCCTGCTCGGCCGGCCCGGACGCATCCTCGCTGAGAAACGTGGCGCCGTGGATCACGACGGTCGGCGCCGCCACCATGGACTGGGTGTTCCCGGCGAGCGACACGCTCGGGAACGGCCAGGTTCTGACCGGGCAGTCTCTCTACGACGTCACGGCCAACCGAACAGACTTCGTCCGGCTGTTGCCCAGCGCCTGCACAGCCAAGGACCTGGTGCCGGACAGGATCATGGGCAAGATCGTCGTGTGCGCTGGCGATTTGGGCGCTGATGCATCATTCGGTGCTGCGGTGCAGAAGGCCGGTGGCAGCGGGCTAGTCTCCGTCGCCACCCAGGATTGGCGTATGGAGGGGCTCGTAGTCCAGGCGTTCACCCTTCCTGCTGTCAGCCTCAGCGCCCGTGAAGCCGAGAAGCTGGCGGCGTACGTCCGCTCGGAGCCTTACCCGGTGGCATCGTTCCGCTTCACCAGCCGCACGGTCACCGGAGAGAACCCGGCGCCGATGGTGCCGTCCTTCTCGTCGCGGGGCCCCAACCACGTCACCCGCGAGATCCTCAAGCCGGACGTGATCGCGCCAGGCACCAACATCCTCGCCGCCTGGCCCGGCGAGTCGCCACTGACGGACGCCGAGGAGGACCCGAGACGCGCACGCTTCAACATCGTGTCGGGCACCTCCATGTCGTGCCCGCACGTCGCCGGCGCCGCGGCACTGTTGAAGCACAGCCACGGCCGGCCCATCGCGGACAACGGCCGCAAAGGTGGCGCCGGCGATGACGCGACGCCGTTGGCGGCCGGCGCCGGCCTCGTCCGTCCGCAGCAGGCGCTCGACCCGGGCCTGGTCTACGACGTCGCGGAGTGGGACTACGTCGACTTCCTGTGCACGCTCAACTACACCGCGGCGCAGGTCCGGATGTTCGTGCTGGGCTTCGCCGGCTGCACGAGGACGCTCCCCGGCGGCATAGGCGGCCTCAACTACCCGTCGTTCGTCGCGGACCTGGGCAACGGCACCGACATCCGCGTGCTGCCGCGCACCGTGACCAAGGTTTCGGAGGGTCCCGAGACCTACGCCGTGAAGGTGGTGGCGCCGCGCCAGCTCGTGGAGGTGACCGTGACGCCGGCTACGCTGGAGTTCGGCGGCGAGCCGTACGAAAAGAAGAGCTACACCGTCGTGTTCAGGAACAAGTACAGGACGCCGAGCGCACATGGCGCGGCGGGGATGGCGCTGTTCTGCCAGATCGTGTGGCAGAACGACGTGCATACGGTGAGGAGCCCCGTTGTGTTCATGTGGAACAGACGTGATCAGTGACACGCAGTCGGACTCGGCGATGCTCTGAATTGCGGGAAACGCAGCTTGCTTGACACTTACGCTTTCGTGTTATAAGTATGGCCCTTTCTCGCGCATTACGCACATCCGTCACCGTCACCGACGTTACGCCGTCTACCGCTTCTCCTCGCCTCGCACAATCATATCGTCCCGACGTCCCCTACCTACGGCACGCATCGCAATCCGCCGTCGCCGTCGCCCTGTTTCACTCGTGATGGCTGCCTGCGTAGAGCCCGCCGCCGCCGCCCGCCACCCCACCGCCGCGGCAAAGACCGGCCTGAAGAGAAAGCGCATCGCTGTCGGGAGCACGGAGCTGTACGAGTTCGACGAGACCAGCCGCCTCGGCGCGGGTGCCTTCGGCGCCGTCTTCAAGGCGCGCCACCGCGCCACGGGCCAGACCGTTGCCATGAAGCGCCACAGCACGGCCGACAGCGGCCACGCTACGCTGCTACGCGAGTCGCGCTTCCTCGAGGACGCATGCTGCGGCGGCGCCAACCTGTTCGTCGTCGGCTTCCACGGTGTCGTCCGCGACCCCGTCACCTGGGAGATGTGCCTCGTCATGGAGTGCGTGGCGACCAGCCTCCACGATCTCCTCCGCCAGCGCCCGCGCGGGAGACCGCCGCTGCCCGAGGCCACTGTGCGTGCCGCATGTGGCAGCTACTTACGGGCGCCAAGAAGATGCACGACGCCCACATCATCCACCGGGACATCAAGCCCCAGAACATCCTCGTCGACGAGGGCTAGAGCATCGTCAAGATCTGTGACTTTGGGCTGGCCATATCCACGGACGAGGGGCCTCCGTACGAGCCGGCCGGCGCGCTGTGGTACAAGGCGCCCGAGATGCTGCTGGAGAAGCCCGACTACGACACCAAGGTCGACGTCTGGTCGCTTGGCTGTGGTACAAGGCGCCCGAGATGCTGCGGAGCTCGTCAACAACGGCAGGCCTCCGTTCCAAGGATCCCACGACGACGGACAGCTCTGCGCCATCTTCGATGTGCTCGGCGTTCCTGATGACAGCACACGGCCGTGGTTCTCGTCGACGCCATTCGCCACCGAGGTGATGCCGGAGCTGGACATGCAGCGATACAACCTCCTGCGCGATCTGTTCCCCGAGACGAAGCTGTCCACGGAAGGATTCGAGGTGCTCAGTGGCTGCTCACATGCAATCCCGACAAGAGTCTGACGGCAGCCGCCGCGCTCAAGCACCCATGGTTCGCCAAGGTCGACGGTCTGGAGCTACGAAAGAAAGAGAAGCCTGCGTCCACGTTGCCCAAGCCACACAAACGACAGAGGTTGCGTGCTGTGTGTGTGACTTAGATTTAATTCCCTTGATCCTGCTTGTATCATGTAAAATTAGTCTGTTGCTATTGTGAACAGATGGAGCTTAAACTCTTGTAATGTAATGCTGTGAGCACTGTGATGATGTAAAATTGTATTATTTCAATTGACGAATCATTTTTGGTTGTCCTTTGGAATGAATTTGATTGGTCTGTAAAATTGTCTCGAAGAGTTTTCTAATTTTTCCTCCTAAAACACCATGTTTTTCAACTCCAAAAAACATATTAGAAGAAAAAAAAAGAAGAAGCTTATTACCCAATATTCCACTTAAAAAATTAAAATTTAGTTCACTTGGATTTTTTTTTGCGGCTGGCAATTTTTTTCCGCGTGAAAGTCTTCGCCGCCGCCGCCGCTCCTCCTTCCGTTGTGGTGCCCTAGCGCCGTGCAGTTCTAGTCGGCCTCCTTTTTTCAGTGGCATTTTCGTAAATACTATCGTCTTCTTCCTGGGAACAAGCACGTACATAAACAAAGAAAGGAGGTTCTTGCCCGTGATGAGGCACGCGTCCTTGGAGCAGACTCGCAGGGCCCGATGGCAGTTCCTCCCGCGATGCTAATGAGGGAGACGAGGTTCTTGTTGACCTTCCCACGAGCACCATCTCGACGACCTCCATGGTGAGCGCGTGTGACGCGGAGGCCGTCCCAGAACTGCGGCTCGATCGACACCAACGCGCAGCAACCATGAGTTAATCTCCGGCCCCACGCCGTGGACGCGTCGCGTCGAAGCCGAGGCAGTGCCCGCGCGGGTCGCGCCGCGTGCTCGTGCACGGCGGCGGCGGCGGCAGGTCGAGTGACTCGCCGATGGCCGGGATGGAGATCCTGATGGCGCAGCTGCGTACGTCGAGGAGGCAGAGCAGGCCACCGCAGCGGCCGGGCCGTGGTTTGGCGCCGCCGAGCACCGGGGGAAAGAACACGACCGTGTGCGTACGCGATCCTGACAGGGGTTCGCATCAAGTGTGGTGGGCACCGGAGCTTGCCGCATCAGCCGGTAGCATGCGCGCGAGGTAGAAGACGACCCGGGAAGGAGGATACGCGCTTACGCGCACGGGGCTGGTTTTTTAAGTGCGGAAGGATTAAGAGCTGTCCGAGAGGGAATTTTTTTAATCAGCCTAAAATATAAAAAAATAGGGTTAAGTCCAATTTACACCCTCCAACTTACAGCAAAGTTCGAATTTCAACCTCGAACTTCAAAGGCCGGTTCAAGCCTCAACTCTCGAAAAAGTTCAACTTTCAACCTTGTGGGCGGTTTTGCGGGTGAACAGTAACTTTTGATATTTTATCGGGGCGCTCATCATTGTTTCACGCGTGATGAGACTCAAATTTCAAAAAATAGAAAACTCAAAAATACGATGTTGAAGATAATTTTATATGTAAATTTACGTAGACCTTATCTTCATCTACAACTTTGAAGTTTTAAGTTTTTTCATTTGAGGACAGTAAGATGCTCGAAAAAATAATATAAAATTTCAGCACCATATTTTATCGAGCATGAGACTCAAATTTCAAAAAAAAGAAAACCCTTCAATACGATGTCGGATGAAGATAATTTTACATATGTAAATTGTAGACCTCGATGAGATCTACAACTTTGTAGTTTTGAGTTTTTTCATTTGAGGACGTTAAGATGCTCGAAAAAATAATATAAAATTTCAGCGCTTCTGAAAATATCAAAAGTTACTGTTTACCCGCAAAACCGCCCACAAGGTTGAAAGTTGAACTTTTTCGAGAGTTGGAGGGCCAAAGTTGTCCGGTTTTGAAGTTCGAGGTTGAAATCCGAACTTTGCTGCAAGTTGGAGGGTGTAAATTGGACTTAACCCAAAAAAATAAAGATTAGGAGAAGATTTAGGATACTCTTGAAGATACTCTAAGGTACCTAGATGTCTCTAAATTTTGGTATGCCAGATCTCTGGTCTCAACAGGAAACAAACCGAGTAATAATAAAAAGAAAAATCAAACGCTAGTGCTAGCACCCGGACGTCCATGCGGACACCCGCACCTGCACCCTATTCCCTACCGCAACACACACGGCTCTCTCCACCCCGCGACCATTCCGCTCGGGAGGTGGCGTCCGTCCAGATGGAGTTCACGCGCTTGCGCTCGATGCACGCAACGCCCTACGCCCATCCCGTTTAGGTCAAGCTCGAACAGCCACGGCGAGATGGAGGAAAGGGAAGGGAGGGGAGGAAATGGAGAGGAGAGGGCGAGGCGCACTGCGTGAGAAAGGCCCGAGGTAGGAGCCGAAACCCTGCGGCAGACCGCTCTCCGCCAGCCACCGGCGCCATGCAACACCCGATCTACTTTTGAAACATCGAGATGAAACATATGCAATATACGTTTGAAGACAGATGAAACACTCGAAACATATGTGTATAGTCATTGCAACATGTGCAACACCATATCAACTTTCGAAACATCCAGATGAAACATTTGAAACAAATGTCTGAAACACATGAAACAATTGAAACATACTTGCATATTGAAACATACTTGCAACATGCGTATATTGCCATTGCAACATATGCAACATCCCATATCGACTTTTGCAATAGTCAGATGAAACACTTGAAACATAAGTTTGAAATGCCTAAAACACTTGGATATATGGCGTCGCCGGCGGCCATGGCCTACCTAGTGGGGGACTGCTGTACCCAGCAAGCTTTGGAGAACGAGGATGGCGACCGCAACCTCAACCGCAAGCACTGCCGCGTGTCCTCGCACCACCACCCCTGGGACATGGAGCCGGAGCGGCTCCCACTACCACGGACTAAGAGGGGGGCATGGGGACTGAGCAGCAGTGGCTCGATGACGAGATGGAGCGCCGCCGCATCTGTATCAAAAGACTGGCAGGAGAAGCCGCAACGAGCAGCAAGGTGCCACTGGCCCAGGCCTGAGGCGGGGAAGAAATAGAGAGAGAGAGAGAGAGAGAGAGAGAGAGAGAGAGAGCGCCAGAGCGGATGAGTGGAGGAGCTGAAGGAATAAGCGCAGGGGATTTTTTTTTATTTGAGAGATAGAGCGACCGAGTGGATGAGTGGAGGAGCCACGTCCGGACGGGACGTGCGACCGTGGCCAAGTATTATCGAAAATCAAAACATGGGAATTCAGGAAGAAGGACATGCTACTGAAGTACTGATGAAGAGGAACGAGAATCACAAGAGAGTGATGCACTGGATGAAGGCAGTTGCAACAAGAAGGAGCCAGCCAAAAAGAGCTGGGTCATCCAAGACCGCAGGAAGAACCAGGGACAAGAAAAATTTCAGAGGAAGGTCAGGGGGAGCCTGAACGAACTGAACTCAGTCAGGTTGTGTTTCCTGATCAAGACATGGGAGGGCTGGACCAGTTTGATGTTGTAAGCCTGTAACAGGAACTGGGACATTGGAACATGAGTAGCTATACATGTATTTGAGGGGATTCTTGAGGAGGGAAGGAGAGGTGCCAACTAAAACCTTGGAAGAGATTTTGGTTTGAAATTTATAATATTTTCACAACTAATTTACCTACTTATTTTTGTTGAAATAATTAATTTTAAAAGCTAAACGCAAAGTTTAAATTTGAGTTAACCTTCAAATTCAAACCAAGCTGCGTGGTAAACCTTCTCTCTTTAAATTATCTCCCTAAAACTAATATGTGCATTCATCTAACCAATGCATGTGTGGAGTGGTAAGATCTTGTTTAAGTTTGTTTTGGTTTACTTGTTTTTGTTTGGAGTAAGCCTCCTTTGAAAACCCTTTGTTTCTTAATGTGAAGCCCACTTTCCCCTTGCTGTCTTGCTGTAACCATCACACGGTGAGTGCTGAGGCACCTAGACGCCTCTGAATTTTGGTAGTGCCAGAGACAAGAAATTTTTAGAGGAAGCTCAGGGGGAGCCTGAACAAACTGAACTCAGTCAGGTTGTGTTTCCTGATCAAGACACGGGAGGCTGAAGTCGCAAAAAAAAAAAAGACATGGGAGGCTGAACAAACTGGGGCAAATTCTCAAAAAAAAGGGACATTGGAACATGATCATGTGGCCATACTTCTAGTGATTTTTTTAATTTTATTTTATTTTTTCTCGTAATTTATTACAATTACAAAAATATAGTAGGAATCTGGTAAGTTTCAAAATGTACCAAAGTCATTTTCCCGACGGATGAAGATTAAGGCCACGTTCGCTTGTCTTATGAGCCGTATTATTTCCGCGAACGAACAGTGTTTTTCTCTCACAACAAATCAGCGAAAAGTACTTTCAGCCATAGTTTTTTAGCAAAGCGAACATAGCCTAAGTATGCTAGTTCGTATAAAGGCCATTCTTTCAGGGTAAATACTGAAATGTAGACCCGTGCACACGGTTAAGAACTCAGGTCTCTGTGTTCGTGATCCTGCAGTACTGGCGCCAAACTGGAGCCGTAGTGAGCCGTAGTGTGATTGTGTGAATATGGTTTGACCCCAAATTCCCAACTTGAGCCGGCTAGTGGTGATTCCGCTCGCCTTTTCAAGAGAGGAATTGCACGACTCGCATCGATCATCCATCATACAAGGATACTGCAGCATAATAACTGCTTCTATGAATCAGATCTCGCCACTTCTTCACCCGCCAGACTACCGGTGTCTTATACGTATTGATGCATTCTGCAGTTCTGCGGGCAGTTAAAACGGCGGAAACAGTCAACATCATCTTTTCAGATCGGAAACCACAAGGATGCAATTCCACGGAACTCCAGAAATGATCCAACACGATTGGTGCAACAATAAGATCACAGAATCAACTCGAGTTCTCGACAATACCTGCCTGCATTCAGCTACCTACGCAACCTAAACTTCGACGACGTACTAATCTTACTACTATCGCAGGATAGTGGGACTTGAACATCACGAGTTCTTACGGCCGACAAAAGACACCAAGGTTGCACCACCATCCTATTCTAGATACCGAATCCCTCCCTGCTGAGTGAAGGAGCCATCAAGGTCCTCCCTTCAGACGCCGGTGGATCCGAACCCTGCCTCGCC